ATAATATAATATAATAAATGAGGCCTGCCTTTCCTATCTTGTTCTTATTAGTCTTGTTAATGAATTATATTGGGGATTTCGATTTCACACTCGTTAAAAAAAAGGGTCTAATTCTTCTAGAAAATAAAATAAAATAGATTTATCGATGATCATAAAAAGAAGTCCATTAGGTTAAGGGAAGGAAATTAATTAAGGAATGTTTGGAGCTTAGTCAAAAGGTGACAAAGACAAAAGGTAGGTTCTTTAATTAATTAAAGAGATAGAGATGGAGAGATTTTAATGGCAATTGTGTTTGGTGGCACATGGTATGCATATAATATAGGGAGAATGTGCAGTGGTTGGATATATATTCTTTGGGAAAATTATATTGATCGATCGACCCTTTACCCAGAAAATTAAAGCTTTATTTGATCGATCATCCTCCATTTGTTTGGAACTGATTATTTGTTTTTATTTTTGTTGTTTTTTCTAGGGTTTAAGAGTAAAATAAAAGAATAAACCAAAATGGATACTTTAACCGGTATTATAGAATTAAGTGTGTTTGAGGGAATCACGCATTCTAATCAAGAGTTTTGCACGTTATTCTTATATAAAAATCTCTTCCCATGGCCTCAGCAAATTTCCTCGAGGGCAATTATAGCAGCTGTTCATGGTCTCAACATTCTCTTATTTGGCTAAACTCCTTTCTTGGGTTAAGATTTCCAATCGTCCTGATGCATGAACCCGACAATTAATTGGATTTCTCAGTACTGTCATATATCATATATAATTCTCCTTTATAAAAGTAGTGATCATCGATAATGCTCCAATTTCAAGGTAGGTAAGTCGTAAAGTGGAAGAAGATATTGTCAAGGTTAGGTACTATACATATATTTACTTCAAACTTTTATAATTTCATTTCTTTTGGAAATCGTACACCAAGATCAATGATTAATTTTAGACACGATTCATTCAAAGAACCTGGTAGAATTTTTTGTGTATATTACCAAGAGGTCAAAAGGGTTGAAACCCTAGTGATATTTTAGTCGGTTGATCAAGCAAAGTTTTGATTTACTCAGGCGGACAAGTTCATGGCTCTTTTTGACTTCGAAAATGACCTAGAAATGATCGTTTTAACAGGGACAGATTTCCGAATCAAGAAGAAATATTTTTTAACGGAATGAAAAGAAACTTTATTGACTGATTATTCTTGATAAACCGATGAATATCAACTTATGGACAAATTAAAAAGATAAGAGTCTCCCTCTTTACCTGATCAACTTGCCTGCATGTGTGTGTGAGGAGAAATATTGAAATATGGCTGCTGCCGAATGTATTGAAAATTTGGTACGTAAGAAGATGTAGGCATATATCATATATATATATATATATGTTGATTCAATTGGACGCAAGCTTTCTGGAACAAGCAAGTTGCTAAGTTGGGAAGAGTATACGTCAACTGGAGCTGGAGCTTTCAGAGAAGGTTGATTATATAAATTTTGTTGGCCATTAAGCACAGTCACAGACCACCCAAAATGATCAGATAATACTGTGTCCACTTAATATTTCGATCAGGCCATGTCACGTTTCCAACTTGTCCCAGTTGTTTTCAGAGAGTCTTTGTTAATTGTCACCACTCATCAAACCTCTCCCTGTCTTTATCATGATCGCTAATTTAGTTGAAGATGTGATTTGAATAAGCATTCTCGCCTTGATGTGATCATCCTCAAACTTATGAATATTTCCCTCCATCTTCTTCTTCTTCTTCTTCATTTCTCCCGTTAACGTCCATTTTTCATGTTATGTGAAGGAAAGATATAGTATTTTATTTTTAAGTTATTACTAAATGACACTTTTCTCACAGACTTTTTAAATACCATTTTATTATTCAAATTTATATTCCAATAGTGAACAGAAAGCAAACTCGGTATAAACTGTTAGGACTTTTAAAGAGGGAATGTCAATAAATCTTTTAGTGGTAGAATGTTAAATTTTAATGGTTGAGATTGATAGGAATTTAACTTGAGAGAGACAGTTGTGCAAACTTAATCTCTCCATTGTCTACGATTGACAAGGTCGACGAGAGAATAGTTTGAGAGGTTTTGGTGAGTAATGATCGGAGAAATAGAATATTAATTTGGGTAGTAAAATGAAAAAAGTCAGTTTACTAAAAAATGTGGTGCATTAATGATGTCTCAAAATGTCTTGTCATGAAACGAAGTTACAAATACCTAATGTGTTCATTGTTAAAGTCTAACTAGAAATAACCACAAGGTTTGGTGCAAAATCACTTGCAATATTCCAATATTCAACAAAATTTGATCTTGTTGGTGCCTTCACGCAAACGATTGTCCAAACACCAAAAATTCTGCAAGTTCAAGGTATATAAAAATATCAGAAAAATAATAATAAGATCGATGATATAGAGCATACTATATATATATACCACAAACATGCAGTGATTCAATCAAAGGGGAAAAATAAATAAATATTGGGCTTGCTTTGAGAGCCCAATATTCCAAAATGAACTTGGGCTATCTTTTTTTAAATTGGGACCTTCTATTTGTTTTTTTGTCTCAAAGCCCATTATGGTGTTTCAAATAACATTTATTTCCTATACCATACATTAAAAATCAACAAATCAGTAATGAAAATTCTGTGAAATAAAAAAAATATATATTAACTATTTGGGACTCTTGGGTATATTACTCAAAAGATCTCAAGTTTGAATTCTCACGACTACTAATAAGAGGTAGTCACTAGAGGCTTATCTGGCCGTTAACTTCAGAGCCCCGATGAACTAGTTCAGATGCGCACAAGCTAGTTAGACACCTCTAGATAACAATATATATATATATATAATAAAACCTCTCTATAGTCATAATAGTGGGATTAACTAATTTTATTATTATAAGGAGGTTATAACTTAATGGAAGTGTAGTTACAAAAATCATAGTTTTGATTTCTTATTTTTTAATTCATGTTTTAGTAGTACAGTATTAGGATTTCAATTCATATTTTAGTAGTATTAGGATTTCAATTCAGCGCTTCAATTGCCTACTTTTGAAATGGATAGAAGACCGTATCTTGGAACCAACAAAGATAAGTGTCATTAATGGAACTATATATGCAGTTGATACATGGTCAATTGATATGAAGCCACAGACAATTGCCAATGGTTTTAAGCATTATAAAATTAGGACTCCCGATTTCAATGAATTGTAAGTTACAAATAAAGTGGACGAGGAAAATAAAAGAGTCATTGCAAAATTGAGTGATTAAATTCGACAAGAAAATAGAAGAGTCATTGCAAAATTGAATAATCAGATTTGACAATTTCACTACACTAATCGAATGGATATTAACAGTAGCGGATCCAGAAATTTCTGTTAGGGTGGGCCAAAATAAAAATTAATTATACATTAATATTTTTGTTAGGGTGGGCCAAAATCTAGAAATTATACATATTAGTATTTTTTTTAAAAAAAAATTGAGGGTCAGCCATGGACCACCCAAAAAGAAAAGAGGCTGGATCCGCCTCTGGATATTAATGTCTTCCTCGATTATCCAAATGAGTAACAAATCATGTATGCTTTAACCGAAGAAGAAATCATTGCTACAATTAGACAAGAAGATAAAGGAAATAATTATAAGGATGATAGTACGGAAATACAAAAAGTTTCGTGCTATGAAGCTTTAAACATGCTTAAAAAGCTAAAAATATTTTGGCTTCAACAAGAAGGTGTCCATGCTAGCAAGTTATTACATACTAGCAAGGTAAAAGATGTGGTAACAACTCTAAAATATAAATCATTGTCTCAAACAATTTTAGACAAATATTTTATTTCATCTTAAACCTTTAATGTAACATAACATATATTTTTTGGTAATATACAGATAATTATTATTACGTAGAGACAACTTTCCTTAAGACGGGAATTAGAAAAATTATAACTTATTACAACGTGGAGTTTATTCTTATTTATAACTATCCCAAATTGAGACTATAATTTTTTATGATTACGTAAAGTTTATTCCTGTATAGAGTATCACTAAAGAGTAGTTTTACTCTGTGTTTGTGTGTGTGTATATATATATATATATATTTTTTTTTTTTTTTTTGAGTTAAAAAAAATTCTCTTAATGAATTCTCCCTAAGAGATCTTCGGCTCTAATCATGGAGTCCATATCGCAAGATATCTCTAGGCCAAAATAAGAATTATAACGTAGTTTTTGCACAATGAACAGTTGAACGGTTTGAAAAACTTCTCTTGTTTTTAATAATTATTCTTGCAAACTCATCATCGCACTACCTTCATCGTTGATCCATCGGGATCACACAAACATCATACGTGGTTCTATCATTGTCAATCACATACTTCTAGTTAGTGCAATTTTTCGCATTAACAAATATAGTAATACTACACTCACAAACCCTTCTAAGTAACTTTTTCTCACAAATGTGATGTATCAACTCATAATTGGTCAGCTCACAATGGGTCTCGCCTAACTAATTGCGAGCTACCATGTTAGCGTTTATGAGAAAAAATTGTGAAAAGTGTTTATCAACCTTTATTATTTTAACAAATATATAAATATATAATATTTACTATACTATATTGGGCAATTACGAAACGTTAATTATAATTTTATTAGAATTGAGAAAAAAAATGTTATATTAGTCAGATTTTAAATTGAATTTTCTTGTTCGGAATACCCTATGAGAAGTGCATTATTATTCTTATTTTATAATTTTAAAAATTACATATTACAAAATTTTTATTATTGGTTTATTTCAGTCTAAAAATTTGAGTTACAAATTGAGAGTGAAGTCAAAAGGTGAACATAATTGTTTACTTACCATAAATTTAAAATAAAATAAAAATAATCTAATATATCAAATATTGTAAATTTCCCTACCTGCCCTAAACTTTTGTTAACAAACAGTTAGACCCCACAGGTATAAAAATGATGCAACCATCCATGCGTAGTATTGCGTACCATATAGTTATCACTTACCAAGTGGTGTATCAGTGCCATCGGGCAATGTTCATGGTGGCGCTGACTATTAAACTTACAGCCGGCGACTCCGGCTCAGAATCCGGGAAAACACCGAGAAGGCAGGGCGAAACAGAGTCATTCTCTTGGTAAAGCGCTGTTAAACGTCGTTTAGTTTCATTATTTTTTGTTTTGCGTTTAGAAATTCTGTGAATTTTTAAGTATGTGCTTAGAGCTGAAACCTGAAGTCTGGACGATCGGTGATATCTTGTTATGCAATTATATTTTCGATTAGTAAATCAAATATTACTTTATAGATTAGATACTTTATAAATGTAGATTGAATGTAAATTCAGCCCTAACCTTTATTATTTTTGCATGGACTTTGGGATTCGGATCTGTGCTTAAACCTTTGTTAGCCTGAGACTGTGGCTACTTTAGTAATTATTTGATTATTGTTGATGTTTATAAGTTATAACTACAAATTTTGGGTGGCATTATTAATTCATTGTTGATGGGAGAAGAGTGAGGAATTCACTTTAGTGTATTACTTGGAGTAATGATTTATTGGACTTAGTTAAACACTTCGGACCTGTATGCTGTAAAAATATGGGATTTTGGTTCCTTATCTGCAGGTGGCGTCATGTTATATTGATATTGAGGTAGCTCTGGCTTTTTTGTCAGTAAAAGGAGTACCATATATGTTGTTTTTCATTCTGGTAAGTTACTAATTATTCGTGTTATTGGAATGCAATGTAGCGGTGATCATTAAAAGCTGAAAAACAGTTTAACTGGCTACTCGTATTTACTATTAAATTTGTGTTGTGGAGATTTGATGCTTTGTCTAGTTTAGAATAAGTGTTTGTCTCTCATTGTAGAGTTGGAACTAGTAAAGATTCTCTATGTAACTTCAAATAGTATGCTGTCACCCATGTTTGCATTCTTCAATAAGTTCCTGGATGGAATAAGAGGACCACTTTGGTGAAGCTGGTAAGTAGATAACCTTCTGTTATTTGATAACCATGTGAATCTTACGGTTGTTTTCTGCCTGCTAGAGGCAAGTTTTAGAGAATGTGTGAAACTATATAGGATAGCGTTCATAATGTAATATATAGTCATTGAATAACGGAGTGTTCGGAAGAAATTTTTATAAGGGTTCACTTTGACAATTACCTTTTTAATGCCATAAGTTGCTTCTTTTTGTATGTTGCATACATATTACTACTAAAATTAGGCAAATAATTCTTCACTATGTATTTCTGTTTGGATTAGGTAATTCAATTACGCCAAATACATCTGCAGTATTTCCAGATAATGTGTATCACTTATTTGTTTCGCTCATTAGGTGGGGCTTCATATGTCTACCTTGATACCAGCTAGTTATTCCTTTTTGGGCTAGACTTAGATAAAGCAATATATGAATCATATATGTAATGAGAAGAATGAGCATATAAGATATTGCCTACAGAAATAAGGTCAGTTCAATGTTGTTCTTTACATATTCTCTGCTACTTTTTGAGAATGGCAGCTGGAGGATCAAAAACCTATGGCTTAGCTAGCGTACTTGAGATTAAGCTGGGTTAGAATGAACTCCTCTTCTAGTGGACCCAATACGGAAAAAAAAAAAAAAAAATCTTAATTTTGTGAGTTATTTTCTTGTTGAAACTCTTGTGGCCCCCACCTTTAGGAGTCAAGCTTGGCTTCTCTTATATATTGTGTTCTTGTTATTGTGACCTTTCGCTTTCTTACTGAATTTTTCTACTCACAAAAGAAAATAGAAGTTTAAGACTCAAGTTGTTTGGTCCGACTTTCAGCTTTTCATATCTGCAATTTTGTTTGGTTAAGTTCCCCTTTTAACATTGAAGAAGTTTCGGTCTAACCATATTTGTTAAGTCCAATATTAAACCATGTCATAGTTTTTCATTTAATTACTTAGTTTTATTAATAGTCAAAATTTTATAAAATGCATGCTCAAACACGTGCAACTTGTGGTCAGAGTTGTCATCTTATGTTAGTCATTTCAGTGAAACTTTCTCTCTCCTTTTATTTAAAACGATGTATGAGGTCAACTAACTTAGATTTTCCTTTATACATATGCTTAGAGTCAATAGAACTTGTCCTTAAAGGTCTCATGTCAGCAATTTACTTCATTCATTTCTTCTCCTTTCTCTGGACTTGAGACTGAGTTTTACAACTAAAACCTAGACATGGTTACAGGCAGTTCATTTTAACTTCTATATTTCCTAAGATTACCCTGTCAAAATATAGGTTTCATAATACTGGCAGATAGATTAATGCAATTTTGAATAGACTGTTAGTCATGTAAATTATAATAGTGACAGGCTGTTCAGAATACAAACCCTCCACTCGCACGATATGTCATCCTATACAACTTGTGTAGATAACGGCTTGGATAGGGTGGATTTAAGGAAAACGATTCATGTAGCCCGTTCCCATCAGTCTGAGATTGAGGATTAGTTTAATTGAGTTGGATTAAATATGCTAGGTTTAAGTTCTAATACATATAGTCATTTATAAATAGGACGAGTTCTTAAATTGCAATTTTTATCTTTGACATTATATGATATGGATGTCCTTTCCAAACCTATCAAGCCTTCTTTTTTTTTTCTTTTTTTTTTCAAAATAGAACTTTATATCTAGATGGATGTTATTAAAATTGTTGCTTTTGTGTCTGGTGCTTGTGGACTTGACCATTATCTAGGCAATTTGGAGACTTAATGATCGTCTCATTTAAATCTTGTTTGAAGAATAAAATGAGTGAAGACCAACATTCCCTAACTGTTCTCTCTGCCATTTATGGTCGTTAGTTAGTAATTAGGAGGAGTTACTACTTTGTGCTCATGACTGCAAACTATGAAGCTATTGACTATATTTAAAATCATCACTTTCTTGCAATTATGATCTTGGGAATAGGGCCTCTTATGGCCTACTTTCATTTTATGCACTGTTTTCAATTCCCGAAGCTGCCCCTGAGCGGATGCACAAATTAGGTGACATGTTGTTTCCGGTCATTGTAATAGCTGGACTACCTTTTTCACTTGGTTTTGACATTTGATTCGCAAGGTCGTGATTCTTTCTTTAAGCATTTATGATTGTTCTAAATGTATATAATTGTGAGTGAGGCTGTTTTAAGCTGCCAATGCATAGAACTCTTCTCTGGATATTTTTCCTATTTGTGCCTTCTTTTCTTAAATGATCTTTATTAGAATTGTCGTTTTACATTAATTTTTCTAACCAATATGACCTATTTCTTTCCCCTGAACCGGATATAAAAAGGGTAAGAACTGAGGCATTCTTCCTCATCATATGGTTTTCCTGGCATTTGCTCTTTCCCTTCTCTTCTTGTTGATAGTGGCCCCATTGTGGGTCTCTTTTCCTACTCAAATAATGAATTCAATTTCAGTGTCTAACAGAGAAAATTCAGAGAAGCATACAAGTCCCTATTCTTGCCTCTATTGCAAAAAGGTGTTTCCTAACCACCGGGCTCTAGGAGGCCATCTTAAGACTCATACTACTGAGTTTAAGTCAAGGTGGAGGAGGCAACCTCCTGGTCATTCTGGCATTTCCATTGGTCTTCCTAGCACCAACGCTAATCCCCTCTCCAACAACCAATCCGGAAATTCTTCTGGAGGTGCTGGGAACAATAGTTCCTGCTCAAACAAAGTCATTCCAATGCATGCAAGTAAGTTCTCTGAATCCAGTCCTAAAAAGATCAAAACTCTATTTATTTTGTCTCCTAATCTTTCATCTGGCTGTGGCCTGAATGAAATTCACCTTTTGAACTGTTTACCGTCAACAGCATTTGCACCATCCGGTAGCACTGCAGCAACTGGTGTCCCTTTGGACCCTTCATTATGTTTGGGCATGCCTGGAGTCCGTCAATTTGGTACTGGTGAGGATCGAACTCCCCGGGATGGTATGACATTCCTCCATGGAGATGCCTTGCAGAACTTTGAGCACAACCTTAGTAAGCCTTCATTTCCTGCCTCTAACGTTGCTAATCCGCATTCAGGTCTTGATTTAAATCAGTCACCTGGCTTCAAGGATACTAGTGCTGTCGGTTCCTTCATTATGGACCCTTATCCATGTTTGGGCCATGATGAAGGTTGTCGTAACAAGATGAAAAATCTCTTTACTTGTGAAGAGGGTAAGAGGCAGTACTCAGTTGATTCCCTTGGAAATACTGACCTGGTGAAATCATCGAAAAGGCCTAAGATCGTCTCCAACCTACCTGTGGAAACAGAGAAGTTTCAAAACAAAGAACCACTTCTCTTTAAGGATGTGGAGAAGCCATTTACAGCCCTGGGAATTTCAATTAATGCTGAGCCGGAAGTTCCGGCAGATTTAGATCTGTCTCTGCATCTGTAGCTTGTTACCTTTTATCTTTATAATAAAACTGAAAGCACCATGGATAATTATGTTAACAGTGAATACATATGAGTTGTGTATGGGAATGGATTTCATACTCTTAAGAAATGTGCTATTTGTTTCTTGTGTCTTATATGACCAAAATTTTAATTTGGGTTACTTAGATTTTTGAATGTGTTTAAGAACGGATTGAAGGAGTAATCAGGTTGGATTAATATGTAGACTTCATTGACAGGAAGATCATATTACATTAGTTCGAATGTCGAGTATTCTCATCTCTGGACATGGTTGAAGGTTTTATCAATAATGTTATATGTATTCTTCTGGGCGTATCATCTGTTTTTTCTATATCGATTACAGATTAGTCTGTTCCAGAGCTCATAGTTTTACTGTAGTTTTCCATCCTCAGGCTATATCAGTAGTTTTCATCTTCTTTCTTTCTTTGTTGTCTTGATGCTATAAACATATGTTATAGATTCATTTAACAAAATATTAGTGATGTTTGCTTAATCTTCATGGGATTTTCTCTTTGTTTGTTATTCTATTGCAGATGATTTTATCAGACTGATCTCCCATGTACTGATTGAATATTGAGTTTTAACTGTTAAATGGCACATGATTTCCAAAGCTTGCCTTGTTGGGTTAATTAATATTATATTGTTGAAATTTATTTTAGTGTAATCTGGCCATATTTGGTTTTGCCACACTGCATATACCATAAAAGCATAGTATACTATTGAGTAATTCATTTGGTTATTAACAAGTCTCGATACCCTAGGAGAGATTTAAAAGTGAGTTAATGAACCCAATTGACTCATTTCACTGAACATTACAAGATTTGGAAAGTAAGAAATGATAGTCCATAAAAGACTCAAAATTCCAATCGCATATTGAGTTGCCACTCTATGACTTTGTACATCTAAGTTTTAAGAAATTATTTATACAATTTATAAAGTTAATGGCATCTTGGTTTAAGTTTTAATTATTAAAAAAAAAACATGACATTATAATTGGAGAAGAGAAGATTGACACGGCAATAGCAAAAAAAAAAAATCCCATCATTGAGTGTCATTATGGTAAAAGAATAAAAAAGTATATAAGTTTATATAATTTCTATTTATGCCCTTAATTGGGGTGGTCATTAAAACTCTTATTACTTTTGTTTTAAGTCTCGAGGATTAGTTGAGATGCGTACAAACTGCTCACCCCAATTCATTAAAAAAAAAAAAAAAAAAAAAAAAAAAAAACTTTCATTCTTCATGTCTAAACTACAAGTTTAAATAATAAATTAACCATAATTAATCATTATTTAGAGAAATCAATGGTTAATTAACATAAAATTATTATTTCATTTTAAATTAGTTAAAAAGTGCTTTTGTGGGGCACAATTTTAAGAGGATTTGCTAAACAAATTCAATCAGGAAGAGATTGCAATTGATTGAACAAAGACAGGACAGCCCACAAGCAAAAAAGATTGTTTTTTGATTGGTGGGACTAGAAAGTTGAACCGGATTCTGTGGTTGGTTTGACACCAACTCACCCTTCTTTAATGTGTAATCTAATCCTTATCTCAATCTTACCTTTATTCCATAATGGATGCTCTATTTGTTGGGTTTCTTTTTTCTTTTATTGGATTTTTTTTTTTTTTTTTTTTTTTTTGTGATGGAGTGTTCAAACCCTTTACGTATCTCGATTGATCTTTTAAGATCTTAAAGTTAACGATTAGGTATACTCTCCATGATCATCTATATTAGCAAATAGCTAGAGATGATTCAATTCAAGACCTCTTGATAATTCACCAAAAGTATTTATTCACCACTCGATACCGAGAGGTATTAAATTTTTTATTTTCATTCAAATCCTAACTTACATTATGTAAAATAATTTACTTAATTTTTTAGATAGTACTACTCTGAAAAAGTTTGTAACAGAATAAGAATACAAGGGTTATTAAATTTTTTTATTTGTTTATTCCATGTTAGGAAAATAACTTTTAATTTTAGATAATTTGTTACATTAAAATTAATGAAGTATAATAGTTGAATGGGTGGTTAAATTCAATGATTTTTTGAGATTTTTAATATGGTATAAATTATGCTCATTAAAATATTTTTTTTTTTTAAAAAAGAAACTTACATTTAAAGAGAAGACTCATATCAGATTCTTTACTTTATATGAAACTCATTTGTCAAGTTGTAATAATTATTTTTAATATTTATTTTACAAATACAAATTGATTAAATATTATTATAAAATTATTTAAACCCTGTAAGATTAATAAAATCCTATATAAATTTTAATATAAATATTAATTATTATTGATTTAATATCAAGAATTAAATAGTTTAATGACTAAATTATCCACATAATCAAACAAAGTTACCTTAAACTACGCGTTTTGCACTTTAATCCTCTTTCTCAATCCTCCACGTAATTACATCTATAATTCTCTAACCACCCTCAACCTCAACCTCAACCTCACTCACAGTCACAGCAATTGCATTTCACTCTCCCTAAACAGACAGACAACAGTACATTTACAGAGTCTGTCCACTTGCCACGTGTTCTCAACACTGTCAACTGTCGCGTGTGAAACTTGTCTTCAGAATCATCAAAACCATGTTTGCCGCAGAATAATAATATAACAACACCTTTAGGCAAAAGGAGAAGGAGAAGAAGAAGAAGAGTTCTGGAGATCACCTGAGTCTCTGCAAAATAAACCCAGAGCGAAATCTAGTCAAAAGTCCTTACCTTTACTATAATTAGCTGTAAGTTCTTGGCTTCTAAGTTCATAAATTGGTTTTTTTGTGTCTTTTTGCTCACTGGTTTTGGTTTATATAAGTTGTATAGTTCAAGATATGTACTTGGGTTCGGTTTGTTTCAAATTACCAGTCTTTTAGGTGATAAATTATCCATTTCTATCTGATTTTGTGACCTGGGTTTTTTGTGGGTTTTTTGGTTAAATTTATAGCAAGTTAGATATTTGAGTTTTTGTAATTATCTGGGTTTTGTTTATAGTGTTTTTTTGGGAGGTTTATGTATTTATCTCAGTAGGGGCATGGTGTTGCTCAGCTTTTGTTGTCTAAAGTTGCTGTCTTGATTGGCCATAGTAGTGATAGGTGTGTATAAAGAGCCATAAGGAAGATTCTGTTAGATGTAATAATTTGTTTTGCGATTGTGTTCAATGAGTTTTTAGAGGAAAGGGAATTGTTTCTTTACTTCAGTGTAATCCTAGGTATGGAAATCCATTTTTTGGCAGTAAAGTGTAAAGAGTTGACGTATTTTGATTCTAGGATATATTCTTTTCCTTGGATTTGAAGCAGAGTATATTAGTGTTGCTCTTCTATAAAATCCATTTGGAGGCATAATATAGATAGGGAATTTCATATTTGAAAAAGGATTCAGTATTTTTAATTTTTTTAGATATTGTATACTAAGAGGAGCAGGATGCAAAAGGTTCGATTATCATCTGAACAGGCGCCTGTACACAAGCTAGGGGATTCCCAAATGACATTATCCCCAAAGTTTAGGTTAGCTGTGATCCAATCTTCTTTATTAAATCCTTCTCCTGAGTTAGAGTTATCTCTTAGAGGAGAACCCCTAATTCCAGGCCTGCCTGATGATGTTGCACTCAATTGTCTCCTGCGACTTCCAGTTGAGAGCCATGCAACCTGCCGAGTTGTTTGTAAACGGTGGCATCTACTACTTCGTAATAAAGAGCAGTTTTTCACCCGTCGGAAGGAATCGGGATTCAGAGACCCTTGGCTCTTTGTTTTTGCCACCGACAAGTATACGAGAAAGATTCAGTGGCAGGTTCTTGACCTGACTCACTATTCTTGGCATACTATCCCTGCAATGCCTTGTAAGGACAAGGTCTGTCTCCAAGGATTTAGGTGTGCTTCAATCCCCCGAGAAGGTACTCTGTTTTTGTGTGGAGGTATGGGCTCTGATGTTGATTGCCCTCTTGATTTGGTCCTAAAGTATGACATGCAAAAAAATCGTTGGACTGTCATGAACAAGATGATTACAGCTAGATCATCTTTTGCTAGTGGAGTGATTGATGGGATGATATATGTGGCTGGAGGAAGCAGCTCAGACCTTTTTGAGCTTGACTCAGCTGAGGTTTTGGATCCTGTAAAGGGGAGTTGGCGTCCCATTGCAAACATGGGGACAGATATGGTAGCTTATGATGCTGCTGTTTTGAATGGGAAGCTTCTTGTTACAGAAGGTTGGTTGTGGCCTTTTTTTGTCTCTCCTAGGGGTCAGGTTTATGATCCAAAAACTGATAATTGGGAGAGTATGGCTGTTGGACTGAGAGAAGGGTGGACTGGTTCGAGTGTGGTGGTATATGGGCATTTATTTGTGGTTTCAGAGCTTGAAAGGATGAAGCTTAAAGTTTACAACAGTAACACTGATTCCTGGGAACCAATAGAAGGGCCTCCATTACCGGAACAGATATGCAAACCTTTTGCTGTAAATGCAGGTGATAGCACAATTTATGTTGTCGGGCAAAACCTACGTGTTGCTGTGGGTCGTATCTCAAGGCTAAACACCTCTGAGAAAAAGTGGAGCTTTAGGGTGAAATGGCATGTTGTTGATGCCCCAGAAAGTTTTTCTAACTTGACACCCTCGAGCTCTCAGGTTCTGTTTGCTTAGCTCTTGAAAAAAACCTTGATGTCATCTTTTGTATGTTTTTCAATAAACTGATATCAAAAGAATTATCAAAGCTGTAAAGTGGCAATAGCTGTGTGTTATTAGAATGAATGTAGCATCTTTTACAAACGTTCAGCTTTATATTTCTCTTCTTTTTCCTGGAATGGTTCCCCAAGTGATGTGTTTAATTGTACCCTTCTTTAGATATCTAATGTTTTCCTCATACTGTGGGATGAATTATTGTCTATGGCAAGATAGCATTAATCTGCTTATCTAATCATAAGAGGATAATGCTCAACTGGTTCTGCAAATTGATGCAAACGGAAATTTGACTTGAGAGATCAGCACAGCAGGCCTTTCTTGACTTGCAGAATAATTAACTTTTTCACTCATTTCTTTTACTGAATATTATGTGAGTTATTTACATGACTGAGAATCATCATTGTTCATTTGAGTCGATTTAGTCTCTAAGAATGATCTAAATCTTAGACGAGTTTAAGGCTTCTTCCAGTAAACCTATGGTGCAGGACCTATGCAGTAAGTTAACTTATTTATCAAGCTATATCTACATCTACATTCTCTTAATATGTTTTCAGCTTCTTTCTTTTTCAAAGGGCTAAATGTATAATGGCAGCCTGAAAGAGACATTAATGGTTGAGAGGTTTGGTTAAGCTTTTTGCTGTAAGTTTTATTATTTTGTCATCTAAATCAAGTTCTTTGGTTTTGACATTATTAAGGTTGGAGTTGCAGAGAGTTGTGGAGAACATGTTCAAGAGGGACAGTGTTGTAATAAGCAAGTATTGATGTTGGTATTGGTGTGGTGGGTAATCAGCTAACCAATTTGATTTAGGTGTTGGTTGGTGGGTTTGTTGAGATGTGCTGATGATGGTTTTAATGATTCTGGTCGGTTTGGTATTACAATTATATAAGGGGAAGAACAATAATCAAATCTAATCATCCTTGTGAAAAAAAAAAAAAAAAAAAAAATCTTCATGTTTGGTCAGCTTTTCTTTTATGCAATCAAATCCACGTTATGAATATGAATTATGTTCTTTCAATAACTGCTTCCTTTATAAGCATTTTTTTATGAAAGAAAGATACACCCACTTCTCTGGTGATGTTGATATTAACTCTGTTTTAAAAACCGGACCGGCCGGTCCGATCGGGACTTGGCAGTTTCTTCGGTCCGGTTTAGGTCTTAGGGGGGTTTTGATAATATTTCAAAATTATAAGGGTTAATTAGTGATTTTATAGGGGTGTTTTTGGAGATGTGTCTAAAGTTTAGGGATTAATTGGTAATTTTTTGGGGTATTTTGGAAATAAATAAAAAACTTAGGGACTAATTGCAAATTTTTAGGGGAATTTTTGTAATATATTAAAATTTGAGAGATTGATTTGTAATTTTTTAAAAATAAAATTGTCGTTGACGTCATTGGTCAAATCGGTTGGACCGGTTGACCCGTGACCTAGGCAACAAAACAGGTTGCCCTCCTATCCAGATTTTAAAACAATGGATATTAACATAACATTAATCTTTTTATGCAATGTTAAAAGAAATTTAATCAGTAATCTAACAACTTAAATACATAATTTTGTCATAATAACTCTCTATTAACATATGTTGTTTCGCTTTAGTAAGAACAATACAATCTAATAAACTATCTTTGGGTGGCCGGGTGGGGTGATAGAGATTTTTGGGTGTAATATAAAAAAGGTCTTGAGTTTTATTCCTCTTGATTGCTAATATAGGTGGTCACAAGAGAGTTTATCTTATTGTTAATTTGAGAGTCTTAAAGAATTAGTCGAAGTATGCGTAAATTGGTTTAAATACTTCGATAATTAAAGTATTGAATGGATTAAGATGTCTTGTAATTTAAAAATAACCCATTCCTTCAATCCAGTCACTTAATAAAGTGCTGCTGAATTTGCTTCATTAAGGAATTGAACTTATAATATGTCAAAAAAGGCCTTTTTTTTAAGAGTTTGTGTGGTGACAAAATACAAGGTCAAATGGTGAATAAACTATTGGAATATTCACTGTATTAAAATATATAAAGTATTAATTAGATCTTGAAGTTTATTATAAAAATCCTATTTGAAAGTGATTAAAAAAAAGTGGTTTTTTATTTTATTTTATTTTAAATCATATATTAAAATTCGAGTAGAATTTAAGACAGCTTTGCCCAAACACATCTTTTCTAAAGGTAGAGCACAGGAGGCCACATTAACATCAACTGAAAGCTAATCAAAAGTGAAAACCTCTTCCTCTTCAAAAATAAACTTTTTTATTGATCCAGAGAGAGGGGAACGAACATGGCGGCGATGACAAGCGCGTTAATAGCAATAGCAGGAGTGGTGTTGGGATGGATAGCCATAGAAATGGCGTGCAAGCCCTGTCTGGAGAAAGGCCGTGAAGCCATTGACCGATCTCTGGATCCTGACTACGATCCCGACGACAACGACGTTCGTGCTCCTCTTAACCCAGATCCAGAACAACCCAATTCTAATGCCACCGCCACTTCTTCAGAGGCGATTAAGAGCGTCTGATTTACCTCAATTTTGCCATCTCCCTGCATTTTTTTTACAAAATGAAACAAGAAAAATTGAGTGTAATTTTGGTGTGATGGTGTTGGTTTTTTTAAGTGGAATTGAATCTTCTTTTCTAGCAATGAAAGGATGAAAGTTGTTGGTTCTATGAAATGAAATCTTGAAAGCATCTCTTTTTTTTATCTTTTCTTTTTAGTTTCATATATTTATTTTTGGTGCTATAAAATTGTTTGTGAGATATTAGACATTTAAATTATAAATTAAAGAAAGAGGATATCTATTTTTTAATTTTTAATTTCTTATTGAATTAAAAGAAATTTAAAGTATTATACATGAGTTATTTTTCTCAATTTTCTAATCTTATTGCATATAAATAATTAATAATTTATATTATTTCTAAAGGCCGAATCATTTTTTACCCTTATTTTCTTTATTTGACCAGCTTTATCACTGAAATTTTAATTTTACCCTTATCTTCTTTATTTGACCAGCTTTATCACTGAAATTTTAATTTTACCCTTATTTTCTTTATTAAAAGAATAAATAGTTAATTGTATGGGAGATGAAATAAAAAAATTATCCTTTAAAGATTGAAATCAAAATATAGTAATAACATTGGGTAGCTTTTGGTTCGGGGTAATAAAAGATAACTTCAGTAATTTATCTTTTAATCCGACCATTACTATGTTGGTTGTCAAGTAATAAAAAATTTCAGTAGTGATTACTGTAAATAATATGAGAGGTAATTCAATTACTGATTAAAATGGTGTTATTTTTTTATTACCAGAGTAATCCACTATTTATACCAATTTTACCTTTAATTAGTAGACATTTTGTATACAAATACCTTCACGTGTTTACCAAATAACAATTAACACAAATGTGCGAAATGACCTTTATAACCTCGTAAATCAATTTTTGGACAAAAATGTCACTCACTGTTTACATGAATAATACCCAAAATACCCCCAACCACCCAAGATGACTACTAGCAGCCGTCAACAATCTTCTTGGGTGGCTGGGGGTATTTTGTTAAATTTTAAACTTTTGTTGTGTTGGAATATTTTAACTAAATTCTCAAATATAAGGATTAAAAGTAGTCTAAACTCTAAATAATAACAGTAAAACATACTACATAGTAATAATGTAATAATATTATTAAAAAAGAATAATAATTCAGTAAAAACCTTATAATATCTTATTCCTCCTAATCAAATATATTAATTATTTATATCCACCAATATAACCAAATATATTAATATAACATTTTTCGTTAATTTTCAATATAATATATTTTCTCATTAATATAACATTTCCAGTAATACAATATTCCTTGACCCAAACATTACTTTGGTGTTTTTAAAACAAGAGAGGTACTTGTTCTTACACGATAGATTGGGGGTCAAAATGTAATACAACCTATTTCGAAATACATTAATTATGCAATTACATATTATTTATTTATCATATAATAACACCTATATAAGATATCCCATTCTTTTAACTAATTATTAAAGTAAAAAACGTGATCAAAAATAAAATTCTAGAATGAGATATAGTATGATCCAGAAATTGGTTAATCTCCATACCTCTCCAAGGGTTCACTATAATTGAAGTGATATTCATTATAATCTAAAAGTAAATTAGAGGGAGAAAACGTTACCCTAATAACATGCCTTGCTGTTGTTTTCTTACCCTTTCTTCTAATCTCATAACCCAAAAAAAAAAAAGAAAAAAAAGAAAAGGGGTGCAACTTACTTGAAGAAACTCAAGTCCATGACGACAGTATCAAGACAAAGGCCAAATATGCTTTACAATTACAATGTTGAATTCAACAAAAATAGTTAAAGAGAAAAAAGAAAAAAGACTACGACTTTCTGTACAGTACTCTTGACAAATGGGACGTAACGTTTTTGCCGCATGAGGATTGTGGACTGAAATTTCCCATTTCATTGACAAGAAAAAGATTTTGATTTTAGATTTGTGTGTGTATTGTGACTAGGTGGTGGATTAGGCCAAGTAATTGTATATCTGCGGGTTGTTCTTGTCACGCTCCAGGTACTCCCTGTCAATCAGGCTTTCAATCCTTTTCTTCAGATCAGCTGGCTTTATGGGAAATTTGAGCTGTTCAAAACAAATCCACATAAATTTACTCCAACTCATCAATTTCTTCCATAGATCTTACTCACATGGTGCTTTCATCACCACCACTTCAGATTTTTTCAATTACATTGTGGGAATGAAGCGATCAAGAAAATAATAATGCATGCAACAATGTGACTGTGACCTGACTTTAAGGAGGCCTATACAGCAAAGATTTCATAATGCATAAGGGAAAGTAAAGATGAAATTGAATAATGTTTACCTGTTGGAAGAGCTCGGTTATCAGAAGTGTGTGACTTAGCACTTTCCTTGTCTTCATTATTCGCACAATTGCAGCATCAACCTGGAAAATATTGAACAACATAATAAATAAATCATCTAGCTAGCTCATCACTCCATCAAACATATGAGATGATGTTTGAATAAAAGTTTTGATGAACATGAAGCAGAGGTGGTGAACCTGATATTGACGGTCCTGGAATACTCTCTCGGTAGTGCTTGTGTTCTCCTCCACTGTTTCCTTCATCTGGATTGCATTTACCTGCATTTCACAGAAAATACATTATCAAGCTCCATCTTGGTGGCAATCCAATGGTCTAGCATAAAGGATCTATCACAATGTTGCTGTACTGTTCCTATTAAAATGTGAGTTGTCTACAGAGTTAGAAAATGACAGGAAAAGTAATTTCAACAAGTTTACTTTTGGTTCTTGTTAGGCTCAGGCAAAGTTTGAGATCACCATCAACAAGATAATTAAACAGAAAAGCATACCTTAATACGATAAAGAGGGGCAGTAAATCCTTCATTGAACACAAATGAATCATCATCCTCCACTTCCCTCCCTTTTGGCAACTGTAGAATATAAAAATGAGGATAAAAAGAAATTCAAACATAAACCAATTATATCAGCACAAATAATTGAGCACGAAAGCAAACCCGGGTAACAGCTCACCTTTTGCAGGACACGAACTTTACCACATGCAAGGGACTGCAGAGTCCTTCTTAATTCCTTCTCCTCTATGCCTGTCGAATCCCTAATATCTTGAAAGCTAAGCTTTTGGGCGTCATTAAAAAGCATCAAAACTACTGTCTGAAATCATACGGAAAGCATGACACAGGCAATATTAGAATTTGTGACACAAGTCATATCAATGAAAAAAAGCAACTAAATTCAAAATGCAACTAAGCATTACCAACCTGGAATAGGGAAACTGCCAGCTCTTTTTTACCTTTCGGGAACTCCGCCTTTAACACACAGTGACCTAATGAATTTTGCCACATTAAGCGCCTTCCACTGTACTTGCTTAAGTAGAACTCCTTAAAAATGTCCTGTAGCAAAAACAGATAAAAATGTCACACATATGTATACCTCACATGACAAGGACCTGTAACCAAAAAGAATCATCAGCAACTTCTACCAAACCTGATAAACATTCAATTCATGAGGTAGCCTAACATCCATGGGAGGATATGTGGGCCAATACCTGCATGCAAACCACCCAGACAGAGATTAAATTCCTCAGAATCAATAAGTGGTTAAATATCATAATGAGGTTGCTAAAATTATGCTAATATAGGATCTAAGATCTCAACCTACCCTGTTGTTAAGACATGAACACTCATCTCGATCCCCGATGGGAGTTTTGTCCGGGCTTGGGACGACTGTTTGAAGGACTCATTGATCTCCTTTGATAATTCAATATCCTGTAAACATGTGGTGAAAAAAAAAAAAAACAATTGCAAAAGACACCGCTCAGAATAATGAATATGAAGTCATTGTAAAAGCTGAGCTATGTAGTGATAAAATGAACACTACCAAAAAGATTATGCATGAAAGAGAGAAAAACAAGAGCTTTATTTTAAGTGGCCATCTAAGAAAGCAAATATTTATTTATCTTTTGATAATCCAAAAAATCCCTCAAGTTTTGAAACTGGAGCCACCGCCAAACCCTGCAATCTTTGGAAAGCGGGAAGCAATGGTCTTTGGCCATGTCAATCAATAGCTCAATTGCTACATTTAATTAATTGAAGATCACAAGGATAGTTTAATGTTAGGATCTCACATTGGAAAGGAAAGGGGTGGGCATGTGGGTTATAAATGGCTTGGGCACCCCCCCTTGACAAACCGGTTTTCCAAGAATGGTTATACCCAAGCCAATAAAAGACTCATTGCCCAGCCCAATTGTTGAGATGTTGGAGTGATTCCTATTAATTGGTATTAGAGCATGATCCTGCGCCTACGTGGCAACGCACGCATGGTAGGCAGACCCATGGCAGACTAACCTTGGGCCCGGGTTGTTACCCCCAAGAAGGGCGGATCGACCCGAGGTAAGGGGATTTGCGAAGTCACCCAAGGGGTAAAGAGGCTGACGTGGACGTTGGTTGCAGAAGCATGGTGGAATGTTAGGATCCCACATTGGAAGAGAAAGGGGTGGACATGTGGGTTATAAATGGCTTGGGCACCCTCCCTTGGCAAGCCGGTTTTCCAAGGAGGGTTCTACCCAAGCCCATGAAAGACTCATTGCCCAGCCCAATTGTTGAGTTGTTGGAGTGGATTCCTATCATCTATGCATCAAACGAGCATGCATACGAGGCAAGCATGTCATAGCAGTAGTAGAAATTTTGAACTCGACACTAAATATGAGTATGTCTACAATTTCAAAAAGCTAATTACATAAAACTTCCAGGGATGTATTACTATTATCCACATCATCATTTTGCCTTTATATGGAGAAGGATCCAATGCTTTACTTAATTTTAGTACAGATTTTAGTCACAAATGATCAATTCATTCAGAAATGTGAACACACAATTAGGGTTAAAATTGGCACAGAGCTAAATCACATTTCCTAAACATAAAAATTATTGAGGAAACGCATTTGAGGAAACGCATACAGACCTTGAACATTCCTTCAAGTTTGTTTGTAAATTGGCTGCCACATTCTGTCTTCAGCTGCATTAGCAATACATATTTGTCAACATGATAGCTAGATAAACATATGGCAAAACCATCTACTCAGAAAAGGAAATTAACCTTAGAAATCATAGATTTCTCGGCATCAATAGAAGCACTCTTCCCCAATAGTAACCTTTTTGCAAGATCCTT